CCAGGACTCTAAGGATCATGATGCTGGTCGCCATGATAGCGGGTTGTGCATTCTGCGTAGCCATGAGAAGTGAGTTGGGTCCGTCCTGTATCATCTTGGAGAGCGGAACCTTGAGCGTCTCGTCGACCTGTTCAAAGAATGGCTTCACAGTCCGTGGAAACGCCTCTAGCCAGTCCGATGCCATGCCTACCCTTTGGACGCCTTGGCCAGGGAAGAAGATAACTGTTCGTGGGTGCTTCTTCTGAGCTATTGTGGACTGACATCGTTTCTGCGGCAGCAGTAGCGAGGAGCGAGATCCTGGCGATCTCGCCACACGTGTAGCAATCATATTGACAAGACGCTTCACAAGTACATCGTGGTTATGAAGAAGCTCAAACAACAGAAGTGTGGTTGTGGGTGGAGACAGCTCGAAGCCCGCAACGCCGAGGAAGCGGTTCAGCAAAATAGCAGCGTAATCGTGCAGCTACTACTTATCACGGTATCACAACTCGACATAGCAAGAAGCATTTAGCAGGTTCGGGTCACGACTACACATAAGACGCTCAGAACATCATATCAGGAATCAATGCGATTGCTATTCCAATGCTATACACGACCACGCGAGCTCGATGAGGCTTCATCTTCTTCATCATCGATGAATTTCTCATGACTCGTCTTCGAGGGCGAAGTCAGGTCGTCCAGCTCTGCTTCATCAAACGCGGCAGCAGCCTCAATGTCTCTGTCCTGCGTGGTCTTCCTGCCTGAAAAGCCATCGAGGCCGAGGCCACTCGCTAGACCTGGCCCATCTGAGGGATCAGAGCTGAAGACTCCCTTGTAGCCTGCACGTTTTCTCCTTTCACGGAGCCAAAAGAAGCCCCAGATTACAAGCACAATGATCAGCACAAGGAGGGCTGCTTCCGCAGATCGACGATATGCTGCCCATGTGGCCTTCTCGAGCTTGTCCGCCTCTTCTTCTTGTGCGACAGTGCTGTTTGGATGTCCTCCTACAGACGTGGATGGTGCCTTCTCGCCGTCGATTAGCGAGTCTGCCGGCTTGCCACCGATTGTTGCTATGTCGACACCCATGAAACGGTCGAGCATATCTCTCGTTCTCCGAGGGTAATCGAATGGCACCATGTGCGAGCTGTTGTAGAATCGAACGTATGTGAGGTTTCGAGCTTCCTGGTATATACCAGCCGGCTCTCCTTCGAAACTCCAGTCTCGTCGTGGTGCCCATGTGTTTGGTGATATCTCCATCCCTTTGCCGCCATTCCATTCCAGGTTGTTGATGAGCTCTTCCGTGCCCAGATGGTTGCAGATCAGGTCTTTGTCTCCCGAGAAGAGAACGATAGGCACTTTCTCGAGGATACTCGGCAGCAGCTGTATGCTTGGCTTGGAGTTTCGTGGACTGAAAGCAGCACTGACTTGGTTGTTACACTCAGTCCAGCCTGTCATCTTGTCGTGATTGATGTGCAGAGCCTGAATGACATCCTGTCTTCGAAGGTATGGTGTCAGTTGCTTCAAATCTGGTGGCCAGTTCATGCCGCAAGAGCCAACGGTATCCTTCAGCCGCACATCGTACATGTTGTAACAGTCGCCGCCTTCTGCTGTGAGGTGCAGCAACTGCTGAAGCACATTCTCGCAGACTCCTTCGTCGACATGGTCCTTACCACCGTTTGCAAGTGTCGTATCACATGCTGCTTGTGCTCTGTCCAATTTGTCCGCAATATCAGATCCCTCTGTGATTAACCCGTTCGCTTTCGCAAACTTGATATAGGAGGGATACTGGTCGGCGCCTGAGATCCAGCCATTGCCGATGAGAAGACCACTGAGGTTCCACTTGGTGTTGGTAGTCTTTGCGTTCCGGTCGAGGATTGCTTTGGCAATGTATGGGATATGCTGTCCTGCGTAAGATTCTCCAGCAATGTAGATCTAAGCTGTCAGCAGACGTTCAAAGAGTAATATTGGCACTCACGTCATCTAGGAGATGCTCTGGGAAGATCGCAAACCATTTCTCCAGAAACTGTACCATCTGGCTTGCCATGTCGTCTAGCTCGTGCACATACGAGTCGCTGTCGACATAGCTAAAGCCTGTACCAACCGGGTTATCTATGAACATGACGTTCGCGAACTCGTCCCAGCTACCGTCGTTCAGCCGTAACGTCCCGTCCTCCTTGAGTCTGTATGGTCCAATCTCCATCAATGCACCATCCATACTGCTGCAACCAGGGCCACCGTTGAGCCAGATGACTAGTCGCTGCTTGTTTGCAATGTGTCGATTCTTATAGAGCCAGAAGAACATGTTGCGATTGTGCTCTTTCGTAACCTCGACATGACCGGCATACATCCTGAGTAATGGACTTGGTGCTCCAGGAAGTGAGCGCACGAAGTAGTCTGCTGCTGTCTTGTCTGCCATTGCCGGCGCAAGCAGAGTAGACATCCATAGTAGCGCCAGCATCAGACTCGACCTGATCGCCATGTTGAACAAAATTGAATGTTGCCTCTTTCACATGTCCAGTCGCTCCCTAAGCTCTTTTATATCGTTGATCGTGTGATGGTCTGCAGCAAGGACAGTCGTTGTGGGATCAACCACAAGAGATGACTTTCGAAAGGTAGAGACCGTGAGAAGATGATTATCTTATGAAAGGTCACGGATGTGGCTTGCCGTTAGATGTGTTGCAATTGTTGTATAACATCGTACGCGTCCTATTCGACCCTGAAATAGCAACTGGTGGCTCATCGGCGCCTCGGGCGGACAAAGCCACGATTTTAGATGTCGTCTTGTTTCATCACGTGAAAGCGCGCTTGACGTCCGAGCGCAGGCAGTCGCTAGCTACACGGTACGCGTGCTTCACATCATCTCATCGCTACACATCCTTGACAATCAGGTTCGCACGATGCCTATGCCCGGCGATCAACACAAAGAGACACCAGCATCCATCAATCCATTCCTGCCGCCAGTAACAAGGATAAGTGAGTGGACTGCACAAGAGATCGCAACACTGCAGAGCCGCCTCGACAAGCAGCTAGGTCCTGAGTTCATATCTACTCGACCAGGCGCAGGAGGTGGCAAGGTACACTACCTCGCAGCGGAGAAGGTCATCAATCTCGCCAACGATGTATTCGGATTCAACGGTTGGAGCTCTTCCATTCAAAATGTTCAGATCGACTTCTGCGATGAGCACGTAGGGACTGGAAAGATCTCGCTCGGACTGAGCACGATCGTGCGGGTGACACTACGAGACGGCACATATCACGAGGATATCGGATACGGGCACATCGAGAACTGCAAAGGCAAGGCAGCTGCTTTCGAGAAGGCAAAGAAAGAGGCTGCTACCGACGCACTGAAGAGAGCCTTGCGCAACTTTGGCAACATGCTGGGAAACTGTCTGTATGACAAGGATTACCTTCAGAAGGTCACGAAGATCAAGATCGCACCATCAAAATGGGACGAAGTCAACCTGCACAGACACACCGACTTTGCGCCTGTCAAGAAAGCAGAGCAACGGCAGGACTCGCAAGCACGCCAGGAATCGCAGGGGACCAAGAGGACCACCAGTACGAACTCGGCAATCTTCGAGGATGATTTTGAAACGAACATGTTCGACGATAATGACTTCAACGACACGACGTTGGCCTCGCCACAGCGCAGTATGCACAAACAGCCTCCATTGCATCGAGCTGTCACAATGCCGACGCCTGCTACGACTGAACCCACAGAGAAGGATACTTGGATGCCTCCACCACCACGGGAACCACCACCAGACGTCCCGAATGGCTTTATCACGGGTAGAGCAGTCGACTTGCTTGATAAACCTCCGGAAGCCAGACCACCAACAGCATCAATGGCGTTTGACCCACACTTTGAGAGTCCCAGCATCAGACGTACACAAGGTATAAACCCTGGGAAATCAGCGCCAATCAAGATCTCAACACTCAATCGACAGGGCCCTGCATCTGGTGGGTTGAACGGCCCTGCTGTCAATGTTCACACCAACTTCGTCAATCCCTCTGCGGATCCGAATAGACGTGTAGGCATGCCACAACCGAACAGAGGAGCATATAAACCACCCACGACTGTCAAGCGTCCGGCATTGGCGGATGTGAGCAACATTCAGGCTGCCGAGGATGGACCGGATTTGAAGAAGCCGAAAGTCGAAGCTGAGGCTGCTCCAGCGATTGTGCAGTAGGTCTGGGTATTTTGCGTCCAGACTGCTAATGATGTATGATATCCCGGAGCTTATTGCTCCTATTACCGATCGAACGTTGTGTTCCCGTCTCACCGAGACCACCTTCCCGTTATTGTCGCTGGAGCGTCACAGATTCCATGAACTCTTCGTTGTCGATCGACTGTTCAAGTATGAGCTTTTTTCCCAAGACCACCAAAGTCCTCAAGCTCGTTGCTTGTCTTCGTGGTGTCGCCCGTCCTCGCTCTGCCCGAGATCTTCGAGATCAACAACGCCTTAGCATTGACTTCACGAAGTCGATCGTCAACCTCCGCCACATCGTCCTCGCTGTTAGCTGTCGGCAAGGTCTCGATATCAGTCAGCTCGTTGAGCTTGACAAGGTGCTTTTGCAGTCTGTCGCTGCCGGCCTGCTTACCGCTGGAACGTGTCTCCAAAGACAAGACGGCTGAGCGGCCGTTCAAGCGACCTAGCTCGGCGAACTTCTCGAAACCTTTCTCCATGCCAAACTGTCGGCCTTCAGCACGTCCTGCCTTCGCTCCGTCCTCGATGCCAAGCGCGTGCCCCTCCGCAAAGTACTGCTCTTCAAGGTTCACTAAATTTTGCAAAGGATCCATATCTGGACGATGGCAGGTGCTGGAGTCTTCTGTATTCACTGTGCAGCACTCTAGAGCATGACCGACGTGCCCTTGTTGTTGTTTGGGTGATGTGGACCCTGGTCATCGGTGAATTTTCACATGCACTGGATTCTTCCTTGAACGGTTCCTCGGGGTTACCAGGAGCCCCTCGCATGCCCAGAAGTCATGATTGGCAATCATTTTCGCTGCCACATACAACGGTGCGATGGCCGAGCGGGTGAGTGGGATTCAATTCCTCCATTAACGCTTACTAACGGTCATCATAGTCTAAGGCGCTAGCTTAAGGTATTCTTCAAGATACATATCGCTAGTCCGAAAGGGCGTGGGTTCAAATCCCACTCGCATCATCATTTTTTGCCGTTTCGACTGCTAAAGATCGTTCTTTTGCTCTACCAAATGTCGGCAGAGGTTTACGCAAGGATCATGACTTTTTGAGGTTAGGAAACGTCTTTGCAGCCTGTCAAGGCTTTGGCGAGTAGCTGAGGACATTGGCCACGATCTACACAATGGCAGGAGAGTCTAACGGTGGTATAGGTATGGCAAAGGCACTCTGGAGACAAGACAGTGATTTTGAATCCTCGGTCACGTGACGTAAATTTCATCTCGATTATTCGGGGTTCAACCAGAACGCCGGGCTCCTCTAATCAGCAACAACAATACCATGAGCACCGTTTTCCGCAATGGCTAGAGACAGGTTTTCGGAGCATCTCACTGTAAGATCAATAGAGCCGGCAGCTAGAGTCGCACAGGAATATGCATCCCAGCTTGCGGTTCTGCCTCGAAAGTGTTTACCTACAGATTCTCTCAATCCCGTGTCATAAAATCCATCGAAAGCCAACAACTACGAGTTGTCGAACCTATGGATTTCACATCGTTCTTATGCTGCCAAAATAGCTATGGTGATCACCAGAACACCCAGGCATCCTTCGCCTTCGGATTCGTTACCATCAAGAGTGCTGTTTCTCCGTCGAATGGCGAGCACGAGCTAGTATAGAGCAGTGCGTGCCGCATACAAAGGTAGGCAACGAAAGTGATGCCATATGACGTGGCAGCTGAAGCAGCAGAGACGAGATACGATAAAGGCAAGCACAGCGATAGTCATGTCGATTGACACATAACGCCACTCATTTGCGGCATGCTTAGTACATCTCTCTTGTGCACTGCACCAAGGTATACCCTCGAGTGGTCAATCCGATGTGTCAATTGATCCAGCAACCTGCGACTTCAGATCGACGATGCCTTCACAGCTATTCGGCATCGCGGAGGCTGTCTTGTCGTCAGGCGTATTCGCAACTCGCCATGAACAGACACCCGGTCCACGAACGGAACTCGCGTGACGCACAAGTCAAAGGAAGAGCTCAAGGGCAATGCCGACGCAGTACAATGGCTAGGCCATCGGCCCCGAGCGAGCGTTCCCACAGAGCATCGAGTGGACGGTGTGGTGTGAGCAACATTGATAGGCGAGGTTGAGAGGTGCAACACAGCCAGAGGAGATGACAGACGGCCGCGAAATGATTAGGTCTGCATAGCCACAACCTGGCCAGCAGATCTCACGACGATTCAACCATCTCTACCTCATTGCACAGTCGAAGCAGTACAAGATCGGTGGTACATCGTCCCGTATGGCTATCTGAAGTGCTTCCCGATAACTTATCCAAGTGAAGTCAGTGGTACAGCAGTAAGGGAAGACATGTCTACGTCAGTGGAGACCTGCATAATATATATGACGATCTAGCTAAACGCCTTCGTATCAGCCAGGTGATGACCATCCTCATATGAGTTCAGTCGTTTCGACCGGCGGTCACGCTTGTCTCGACGACCTATGCAACAATCGACACACCAGACACAGCTAGCCACAAACGCAAGGCCAGTAGCAACCCATGTGATGGCCAGGAATTTGCTGCTGTAGTATGCTTCGATGCCAACTTCCTCGCCATATCCATTGATGTTCTTGGCTCCTTGCTGCATGACAGCGGTGATCAGTGCGGATGCAATGAGCACAGCAATAAAGCTCAGTGTATCGACAGCGATATTGACCATAGTCCAGATCCGTCCAAGGAAAAAGATGCTGAGGACAGCCGTTATGAACGCAATGAAGAACAGGGCTATAGCTATGCAGTAGATGACGAACGCTGCTTTGAATGTGGTCTGGATGTCGTGGATGTTGTCGTCCAGCTGCGTTGGCCAGTTCAGCTTCGTGATATCGATGTAGCCAGCTCCACTGGCATTAAGCTGCTTCTGTATCTCCTGTCGAGGGTCCCAAGTGAACAATGCTGTACGCGCACTGCACCATGTTGTGTTCTGCCAGATCTGACTGCGAGACAGTGTTGCGTTCGGGATGGCTCCTGGCTCATAGTAGCCTTCGCAGTATGTGAGACTGTGCAGACTGTAGAAGTCGCGCAGACCGAGCTCCTTGGCCACTGCATTGATCTCGTCGTTGATATCCTGCGAGACTGTGTTTGTGATGTCGTTCCAGATGTTCTGCAACACGTTCGAGCTGTCGCTACTACTGCTACTGCTCGTGAGGTTTACGATGTTCTCGCCGAACCTTGAAGTATTGAGCTGCCATGGTCAGATGTGATCACAGCACGGGCAGTTGACCTACTGTGATGAGAGCATAGTCTTCCATGAAACCAGTGGTGTTACCCGCGAACACACAGAGGAATGTCAGGATAAGTGCCACCGCGCTCAGCACGATGGGCAGGATAGCGAGGAATCGCATGTTGACGGCGCTGATGTTGTGCGAGGAGAACCTTTTCTGACCAGCAGACCGTGCCAGCATATAAGGGACGAAGCCGAACGCCAATGCTCTCAGTCCAAGATCAAGGTCTTAAGGTGTTTCGTCACCAGTGTTCAGCGACGTGTCGCGGCATACAGAACGTGAAACAAAGGTGGACGTTTGATGCCCAGAGTGCAGCCGGAACCAGTGGCAACCCTCCTGGAGTGATCGCCAGCGCAGTGAGGTACAAGCAATGATTGCCAGGAGAAGGGCTCATATTGGCCGAGGCAGGCAATTTGTCGCTCCGATAAACGCTAGACATGAACCCACATCACCCTGCCGCTAGTGAAACTGTCAAAAACCGGTTGTGGAGAGATGCCGAAGCACGCGTGACAAGTGAGTATTATGCTATTCGAATGAGAATGCTCTACTACCAGACGATCGACATCATTGTGGTGGTGTTGAGCATGCGGATCACAACTTCGTGCCTCTCATGCAGGACTCTTCTGGGCTGCCTTGTCGATGAGCAAAGGTGATTAGATCTACAGTTCTTCTTTGTAGAACTCTTCCTGGCTACCCTGAGTTTCATCGGGATCGTCCTTATCTGCCGGAGCCTTCTGGCTGTCGTCTGTGGGTTTCTTTTGACCGTCACTGAGCTGCTTTGAATCACCCGGCTTTTTATCACCCGACTTCGAGTCCTCCTCAGGATCGCCGTCGATGATCCCGCGGTACTCAAGTCCTCGAGGAGTGTCGACGACCTCCAGCGTCCATCCTTTGGCGCCTGCCATCTTGTTGAGCTTCTCCCGCAGCTTCTCCATATCCTTGGGGCCCTTGAGACCAAGTTTGTTGAGTTCAGCCTTCGACAGCTCCTCTCCATCTGATTTCGCAACAGTAGCGACGATCGTTTCCTTGCCTCCAACGATGGATGACTTCTGCAGCTTGAAGTCCTTCGGCACGATCATGTGTGCGCCTACAATGACTTCTCCAACGATGTGAAGTGGCTCTGGAGCTTTGCCGGCGGTGTTGGCCTCCTCTAGTATCTCCTTTGAAACGCGAAGCGACTCTTTTACGAAGCTCAGATCCTTTTCGTAGTCGGCGACCTCATGTGGTTGTAATATTGGCTGACAGACGATGTCGTTCGGTTGATCCTTCTGTGGCGGTAAGAAGGCGACATCGTTGCATAGTCGCGGCGTCTTGATGACCATGAGATATGTGCAAGTTGCCAGCTCTTTGATGAGAGAGATGTGGTCCAAGCCAACGGATGGGTCGCAGTGAAACTATGTGGTTAGCAAGATACGCCAATATCTGAAAGTACCCTACCTGAACCTCGACCTTACGTTCGTCGCCGGTAAGGTCACACTGTGTACCGCCCTCCAGCTTCTGCACAAGATATCGCGTGTCGCCCTTAACCACAAGCTCACCTTTCCTCGTCGGCGCTGATCGTGTGGAAACGCCATCGTCCTTGGCATCACTGCCAGTGTACTTGCCCAGCGAGAAGCCGTGAGTGCTTGGGTCCTCAGTTGGAGGCCACGTCGGCATACCGCGTGCTGCAGGAAGCTGATGAAACTGTCTCACGCCTCCATTGTAGCAGAAGCTGTAGCTCCACCAGCCTGACGTGTAGTAGACACAGCTTCCCTGCATGCCAGACACAAGCTCCCATCCTCGCTCATTCGCCCGTGCTAGCTCTTTCTCCTGCTCTGCTTTCGACAAGGTATCGTTATGGGATCCAGATTCGTCATTGATGGTCGCAATGTCCGGTATGGCGCAGAGAAAGCGCTGGCCGTCCAGCATCATCTCCTCGTGGTACATCTCGTCGCCAGCTTCATTCTTATCTCGCGGCTCTGCAGGCGGTTTGTAACGTTCGACATGCGAGCCTGTGTCCTCGGGCACAATGTTTTCATGACTCCGTCGTTGACGGTATTGGAGCTTTGATTCTGCGAGGGCTTCCGATACGAATTCCTCTGACCAGTCGATCTGGTATTGGGGATATGCTAGTAGGTCGTCATTGACGCTGAAGGAGTGATGTTGAGCTGCGAGTACGAGAGCTACGCGAACTACCGCTGGTAAGGCCCAAAAGTTCTTCATGATGTGCGGCGCAGCATGCAGGATGTGCAATAGCTTGAGGAGTCCGCGCGCGACGGTCGGAGTTCAAGGATGTTTGTCGGATGTGAAAGGTGGCAGGATGCTGTCGTCGTTCATTCATAAGCAACACCTGAGCTTGGGCCAATGTCGGCCTCACGTCACTGAGGTAAACGTTTCTAGGAGCTTATATTCTTTCAAGAGTGGCGATGTACACAGTAGTCGCTACAACATTGCACGAATCTAGTGGTATCATGCTTGCAAGCACATTTTACCGCCTCAAACGCCCTCATATATGCATCATTTCCATCATAACATTCTGGATTCACCAGGCGTGCTGGCTCCCATGAAGACACCTGCACCAGACTGGGCAGTCCCTTGTGGTACCGAGGCGAGATCTGGAACGTCGTTCATCGGCCACATTTGATTGTCCATAGCATTGCTCCCGGCATTGCCCTGGATGTACGAGTCCCATGCACTCTGTAGACAGTCAGTAGTGGTCATCAATAGCATATCTCAACATACCCAGTCCACATCATTGCCTAGGGC